ACACCTAATGAATTAAGAGTTTATTTAGTACAATGATCAAAAGAACTCTCTAGGTTTCACTCTCAAAGAATATTATACCATATATCAGCTATTAGACATAAATCAGACATTTTTTTTTCCAATCAGTTATTCCTGTATGGCCTGAATTTGCATTCCTGTTGATCAGTTCTGTTTAATTTATTAGAGTTCTCATTTCTTCTCAGTTATTTTAGTAGAGAGTCTAATTCAAACTAACCACACTGTTAACACTCGAGCAGCCTCACATTTACAAGCCTAGTGACACAAGCACTTGGCCCAGAGTGAGAACGCCTGCCTTGCCTTTCACTGCGTGTTCTTCGGCAAGCGGCCTACCTGCTCGGCGGCACCCCCGCTCCAAGCATGAGCCTGGGCTCAGTGACCTCCAGAGGTTTCATTTGGCGAACATATAAGGTGGCTAAGGACACAGCACCACAAGACCACATCCGCACAGCAGCAGAGGACAGTCTTGCTGCAACGTGAGACTACTTTAGGACAGAAGTTACCTATATTCATCTGCATACGTATGTCCCAGTAAGTATCTGCGTGAAGACAGATAATATTCACTAAGAACAAATGGATGACTCGAGCTGCAGAGAAGGATTAGGCTGCTTTCAAAGAAAGTTGCCAGTTGTTCTTACATAGCTGTTGAAGCCAGAGAAAAGACAATCTTTAAGGAACAAAACTGAAAGGAGCAAATACAGACTAGACAATGTGATAAGAAGATATAAGCACATAAAACAAATATTCTAGTACCTATTAATTTTATGGTGAAGATTAATTTCAAAGTCTAAAAAAATGCATTATTGTTTTTACAATAAAATGTTTCCCATACTCAAACTGAAATACGATTAATTCGGTATTACAGCAACCTTGTCATTATTAGACTACTTGGATAGCAAAGGAAGAAATTACTCAAATTAGAAAGCCATGTTTAATAAATTGTTGCTTGATTAACAACAAAATAGTTTGTATTATGAGTACAAATCAGGAGAGGTTTGCCCGTTCATTTTAGTCTAAAGTTTTGATAAAGAATAATGAAAAAATTGCAGGTCTACTGAGGCTTGTCAACACAGAAAACACGTTACTGTGGCAGTAACAACAGCAATAGGTCCTTACAAGCATGGCCCAAGCTGCAAAACATTTTTTTAAAGCATTTTGCTTCAGGGAATGGTTAAAAAAAAAAAAAAAAAAAAAAAAAAAAGGTTTTAGGGTTTTGAAAAAAAAAAAGAAAGCCATAGCAGGGCACTGTAAGTTACAAATGGCCCAAATCTCTCAGATACCCGAAAGAGAAACACAGAGGGTCCCCTAAAGGGTCCCTGAAGTCTCTCAAAGTACTAAAAGTACTTAAAGGTATAAAAATCAAGCTGGAGGTAAAAGGTAGAGGAACATTACGCACAAACCATATAAATTACATGTTGTTTTAGAACATCTTTGTGTAATTCAAGTGCCACTGATAAAGTCAAAACTAAATGAATGAGGACTGAGGAGTACTCAAAACCCTGGGAACTAAAGTCATGTGGAAGAACTTATGCCTGGATCTGGACAATTGCACTATTTTTTTTTTTTTTTTAATCTAAAGCAGGACCTTCACTTGAAGCATATGCTCTGAGTGCTAACATTAGAAGCAGTACCTAAACTTCTATCACCAACATATGGTTATCACCATATGTTCAATGCCCAGAAAGAGCACCTCCAAACAGCAGCTCTGTACCTTTTAAACAAAAGCAATAAGAGGAAAAAAAAAAACCCACAACAACAACAACAAACACATACACACCACAAACAAGCAGGCAAATATGCAAATTTATTTAATTACAAACAGCTAAAAATGTCAGAAGTTGAAAACTTCAGGTAATACGAGAAACAGAAGAACCTTAACTGAAAAGCAAACAACCTAAAAGGATGCAAGATACAGACACTGCCTGTAAAAGTTTATGACTGTCAAAAGTCATTCTCTCCGTAGAGGAAGTACTACTACACCCTTTCTTCCTCTGTTCCCTCCTCCCCTCTCAAGGTATGGTAAGTTTTACAGACATCTCATCTTCATTGGTTTCCACAGAAATTTTCCTAATTGAGTTGCAGCTCTTGATTACAGCACACCAATTGAATCAAGGACTCTAGCCAAGTCCCACAGGCAGCTTAGCCATTTCTGACCACGTTGCATATGCCTCTGCCTTTACCTACCAGTATTACCGTGTGCTCCTGCTGATGTTCCCTCTTCTCAGAGCTCATCCTCCACTATTTGGTGTCTCTGGTCCTTGACTAAACAACATTAATCCCAAACCATCTTACCTAAATCCAACACTTCTCATTCCCCCAGTAGAAAATTGATAAAGAATGTAAAAGAAATTAATGCCTTGAATTAGGCAGAGATATACATAGTTAAAATACCTTAAAATAGAAAGCTCTCCTATAAAAGTTCTGACTTTCCTCAGTTTAACTGCTTAGTTTTCAGAATACAGAACCTAACAAGCATTCATGCAGCTTCTTGGAGGAAAAGATATCAAGTTTCAGGTCAGACCAGGAAAGGCGCATCAAAATCTACCTGGACTGAATATGAAATCAGAAAACAGTCACAAAACATAAATGGAGACAGAGGTTGACTGGACTATACAGGTTATACTTAGTGGCCAATTAGTTCTTCCTCTTTCTACACTGTAAGATTCCCAACAGTTCAATAGCAGGGTCATTAACATAATCTGCTTAAAAAGTGATTTAACAGAGAAAGCTCAAATACTGACATAAAAACAAATGTCATTACTCCTCATATTTGATGCTTCCCTGGATATTAGTAGCAGCTTACTCTTCAGTCCACTGCCTTCAGTATTCTGCAACCACAGAATTATAGCACTATTTATCTTTACTCATGAAACTTAGGTATTTCACACAGCTTTGACAAAAGGAATAAGAAATTCAGTATCATTTTCTTCAGACTGCATGTAGGTAAGATTTAAGTCTGAAAACAAAAGAATCAAATACAGAAATATATATATGTGTTTTATACACACACGCACACACACTTTTTTTCAGCTATCCAAGTCTCTCGCTTAAGTTCCTCCTTCTTCATCCTGAAGAGAGAGTGGACTAAAACAGAAGCCATAAACATGACTAATATAGCTACAGCGTATAGCTATTGTTTTAGAATATACAACTTGCTCTACCTTTCAGACGAACTAAGGCTTTTATTATTATTATTTTTTGAAATAATTGATTCTAAAATAGCAATAAATTGCCAGTAGTCAGTTCCTAAGCAATAAAATAAGCAAATAAAATATTCAGGGAGTTATCACTGAGAGCTTTTAAGGTAGCTATAATGTTGATACTGCCTCTAGTATCAGAAATTCAGCTGACTAATTGCCTCATACACTTGATTTACTGAGCTGCTAAAAGTACTAATTGACATATCTTAATGTTTTCAGATGTTCATTTAATACTTTAAGTTCTTTTTAGATTGAGAGTAAAACAAAGTACCAGAATACTAAAAGATATAAAATCCTTTTCTTCCCAGTCATGCGTTAGAAAAAGGAGACAAAAAGAATTCTTAAAGTATTGGCATTTTCTTGAAGATGCTTTTTCACTATACCAAAGCAAATAAAGATCACATGCTTTTTCCAGAGGGCACAGTGATGCTTAGAATTAGCCTGTCAATGGAAGTCATCTCATCGATTACAAATGTCTCAAAACAATGACCTAAAAAACCATAAATAGCACCAAATATCTTGGTAATATTTTTATTTTGCCCTCTATGATAAATCTAAAAAGAAGAAAAAAAATTAGAAAGAAGAGTTAGAACTTGGGCCTTACACACATATAATTGCATAAACAAATTACAAATGTTTATCTGAAGCACAGTTCATCAGTTATTATGAACTACTCTCCATTATAAATTCTGAAAGAAACTTAAGTTCTTTATATTATCATCTGTGCCTGTCATTATCATTTTTATTAGTTTTTAATCCTCAAATGTCATTACTTTATCAAATTAAATAGCATTAATATTTTGTGTCTTGCCAGCAAACTGCAAACCTAAGAGGAGAGTCTTGCCTGGTAAAGTAACTTTTGCCTCACAGATAATGCTGGATTAAGTAAGCCACTATAAGTAAAGCTTCTAGCCAGCTTTGCACAAAATAAGTTAAAAATAAAGTAAGAAGTAATATTTCTGAGATTATGCTGTTATATTTCAATTTAAAAACTGAAAAGTTGTTGTCCTTTAAGTTTCGTGTTTTTTCTTGTATAACACGCAGTGGTTCAGATACGGTTCTCTTTATAAAGTTAAATTTTTCAAAAAAATAAATAAATGCAGTCTTGATAGTTTAAACACAAAATAGCCATAAAATTATTTAGAGATTTTAACCTGCTTGAAAACTTAAAGAAAGGTTAAAAGGATTCAGTTTTAATTAAACATCTACAGCAATTTAATTCCAAATCTTAAGGTTTTAGAACCCAATTTCTCATCAGAACGTTATTAAAGCTCATCTGAATTGAATGACAATCTTCCATTCCTCTAGGCTTTCTGAGTCCATTATCCTCCCCCTTGGGAATGAATACTTTACTGTGACTGATGGTGAGTATGATATATAGAAGAAATGTGTTTTTTTCACATTAAAGAAATTCTTTTTAGTCTTTTGACTTCTTACTGCCACATTTCATTAGTGTCTAGATAGAACTATTCAAAGATATTTGCCCCAAATTTCTACTTCATGTTATGTGATATATGAAATATTTTAAAAGCAGATGTAGTTTTTGGAAAATAAGTCCAGTTTTTAGCTATGACATTCTATTATCTGAGTACTTCCCCTCCCCCCCAAAAAAAGGGTTAATTTTCAAGTTATATCTTCTTTCTGAAGTTTTAGGCATTTTTTTAAAGGCCATTTATTAAAATACATATTTAACACAAATGTATTCTATTCTTGGACCTTGCTATGTAATTTAATCCAGAGACTATTATACTCATCACATAAAAGAACCCTAAAATGTAACTGATGGGGTGGGGAGGAGGCAAGGAATTAACAGAGAAAGGAGTTGGGGGGATGAAGTAACATTTTCTGTGTTCATACACATAAAATTTAGTTACTAAAAATAACCTCCATCTAGTTGTTTTAAAATCAGTTCTGATAAATAGCAGTACTACAGTCTCTCAGGAGGTACTGATGATTTATTAGTCAATTTTGGAATCAGAGGACAGATCCAATTCCCATATTAAAATTCAAGCATAATTCCAACCTACTTCAGCACCACCTATTCCAACAGAAAGACAAGTAGCACATCAATGAAAGCTAACCTGTGATCCATTAGGGTAACTGTATCAAACAGGACCATAGCTGAAAATAGTGCTGTACTAACTTTTCAGCTTTGTCTGCTGCATTTAATAGTAAATTTCAAACTTTCGAGGGAGAGAGGGAGGCAGGGAGGGGAATTACCTAAGTTTTTAAGCATACTCATTTGGGGACTGTAGAAAAACAGTACTAGAGTGCTGGAAAGCCCCTCCGAAAAAAAGGAATCTTAACAATAGGTGTGAATAAAACTGTCGGGGCAATCCGTTTATTTCTTCATTATTACACATATTTTTACAAAAGGTAGTACTTTAAAAAGAACCAACAGATAAAAGCACTTATATAGAGAAAGAAGAACCGCTTATATAAGCGCTTGAAAGTTCCAAGTTCATAAGTGTTTCTTCTGCAAATGCTGAATTTGCCCTTTTAATAGTTTGCTCATACAGAAATAAGGAAGAAGGAAAACTCAGCAATATTACCTTTTAAGAATAAGTTGTTGACAGCCTCAGGTCTGGAAAATATCTAACTTGATATATTCTTTTCCCCAAAGCATTTACCAGCTTAGTATTTCAACAAAACAAAAAGACGGAAAAATAACACAGCACAATTCTTATACACAGATAAATGAACAAAATCCCCTAGTATTTCACAAGTTGAATCCTGGTCCAGTAAGACAGTGACAAAACTCACAGAATCATGATGGAAGAATACCTAATCCCTGAGGTGGGGATAAGGCCCAGAAATTAAAGAGAAGAAAGAAAGTGGAATTGGTATTAGAGAACTCAAAAAACAAGGCTATGTGAATTGCTTTTAAGAGTTTCCAGAAAACAACTTCTGGGCATTGAAAACATTGTGAATGACCAAAATTTCATGTTTTCCTCTCAAGTTCTGAAGAAGTGAGGCAACATCTTCCTTGTGCTCCAAGAAAGCAGCACAGTTCCTCCCTGCTATCCTACCACCTTCTCTTCTGCTAACACCATTCCTTCTCCCTCCCTTCACACAGACCACTACCTACTTTCTTGGGTCTTCTCGGCTATCACTTTTCAGTGGGACTTTACTCATTTATACTCTCTTGGTTAGCAGGAATCCCAAAGGGCTTTAGTCCTTGACAATACTACTGTTAGGTCACACACCAGGGAAGATGTGTCCAATACTTATTGGTTTCTTCCTCATAGTGTTTCACAGAAGACTGACTGTAGAGCTGTAGGAAGAACCTCAGGTAATTTAGACACATTAAGTCTGAAGTGGCAATGCAATCAGACTAGACCCTTTTGAAGAGGTCACCTCTTAGTGTGTGTAGTATGGCCAGTATTATGGGTGTATCTTGCAATAGAAAGACATATGTCCTTAGTCTAGTGCAATGTTGAGCAAAAAGCAATCAGTTTAAATTACTAGCTGCTATCACAGTTACCCCTATGACACACTCTTCTACTGTCAGAAATTTGCCAGTTATAAAATTGACTCTAAGTGAAGAGGATATTGATCTAAGATATATTGTAGAAGACGAAAAAATGCTCTTGAAAATACTTACTGAAGTCACCTGTGAGGAATACTGCTTCAGCTCCTGGTGCCCACTCTTTGCAGTACACTCCACCATCCACGAACTGGTTAACTCCAAAGGTTTTGTAACTTTTTGAAAATTTGTCAAGACCTCCTTCGTTTTCCTCAATGTTCTTCAACCGTTTATAAAACAGGGAATACCTTTCAAAGAAAATAAAGAGTGGTTTTTGAGAGGGGGTATTAGAGGGTATTTTGGAGGGCAAGAGGATAAAGTTTATTAAGTGCCTGTCTTGTATTTAAAAGTGGCAAACATAAGAACATAAAAACATGTTAAGTGAGATGGACTGTAATGTTGCATCCTTGGACTACAATATCTACTCCACTATTCTTTACAGAAATGAAAGAGAAATACCAAGTACATAAACCATATAATTTCTCCATGACTGCAAAGTTACAATCTTCACGTAACTCTATTTTCCCTACTGTAAGGGAACAATTTGTACTTCAAATCTATTCCAATGCTTGGATTGACAGTCAACAAATCTCAGGGTTAGTACACAAAAGAGCAATTTCACACTATCTCACTAGCAGTTTCCTCAGACTGTTTTAATTGGATATAGGCCTCAGAGGGAAAATTGTATAGGTCCAGTACATCTACCACAGCTGATTTTAATATATAATCTCAAGACACAGAAAAGTTTCCAATACATCATAGCAAGAATAAAAAAATAGTTTAACATTTGTAGAAAGCATTTCCTTAGCCACTCTCTAGAAAATCCCGTCAGCAAGAATATATACAATCCTCTGACACCAGACATATTTGAAAAAATTACCACTTCCTGGAAATACTTACTTGGTATTTACTTTTTCCTTGTAAGACTAGAGCTGCCCTAAGTGTCTAACACAAAAACTTAATAGCTTGGAGTTTGTTGACAAATTTGTCCCCATTCCCCTAAGGAATCCCATGAATTCTGAAGTGCATGAGGTGCACAAGATAAATTAGGAGGACTGACTGTCCTCTCTAAAACGTGAGCTGCTATGTGAAGAAGCATGGCTAGAACACCACAACTCCACTGAAAAGTTTATTCATCCTAGATGGAAGTTAGGAGCTTATTTTGTTTCCTTCTTTAAATTAGACACGATAAGTACAAAGGAAAGACAAAGACTAGTAAATTACCAAACAGTTTGGATAAAAAAAGTCACTGTTCAAAGTGTCAAGTTTCTGTTTCAGAACTGGCCTTCAAATTATGAATTAACATTGACTATTTAATGGTTGGCTGTACTGAAACAGGATTAATTATAATTAAATATTACAGTATTATAATTCCTTCTAAAGTTAATCTCCCAACAGCCTTTATTATGAAAACTGATACTTGCCTTTAAAAAGAGAGAGAGTCAAAAAAGGCCCTCAGGATGTACAATACCAAACATACCTAGAAAACCTTCTGCCCACCCCCCTGCAATGTTCCTTTAAAAGTTGCTAGTTGCAAAAAAGTACTATAAACACTTTTCATCCTGAAAATCAGTTTCATTCATAGTGCTTGGTGGAAAATATTTTGTCAGATTTTCTAATGATAAGTATATTTCTTATATACACATACACACACCCAACTGATGGACTGAAATTTTAAACAAGGGGCAATGACAAAGCAATTTATATAAATAAATAAAATCAAGGTTAAATACATAAAATCAGAACAAGTCACTAAAATGGCCTAAAAGTTTACTGGCAGCTGGTAAAGGCAAAATTACTCTATTATTGAAGGGTTCTCCTTGAACAAATGTTTTGCCTTTTTTATGCTTCCTTTAAAATACATCAGTTGCCCTATAAGAGCACAACACTATTTGCAGCTTGCAATATCTGTCATAAGTTGCTTTGAAATTGCTGTATGGTTCATATATTACCTTTAAACAATTCTACTGCAGCTTGCCCAAAAACCTTCTAAATGCTACATGCAGGCATGTCTGTTATAACGTCTAAAACTATCAAACTTAAGTAATGAAAATTTGACAAGCCTAAAATAAGTATGCGTATAGATATACGCACACATTTATTTATATATAAGTCTATATATTATAATATACATGATAAAGGTCTGTCACACAAATCTTTGAAAGCTGGAGGGAGGAAATGATACTTTTAGTAACAGAACAGCAGGTCACTGATAACTGCAATGTGTGAACAGCAGAAAGGCTTAGATACAGCAGCACCGTGTCTGGTGGTGAGCTGGTCCCCTACCACTCCTTCCCACTGACTTCGCCATAGCAATAGACCAACCAACCTATCAGTCTAGCAAACAAATTAAAGGTGAGAGCAGTTAATTGGATGGGGGCAGGGGGTTAAAAGGGGCTTTCAAAAGACAATGACATATACAAAGCCTTTCAGAAATCACTGCAAGTAAAGCACAAGTAAGTTTGGTCTCTTGTTACAGGAATGCTAAATGTACATCCGTTGTTTCAATTTTGTCTTTCAGTGCATTCAAAGTTTAAAGAAATGCATAAAAAGAGACCACTACATTTAATATGACAAATGATCATGCTTATTACTCTAAAAGGCACTTCTCGCTCAACTTGCGCTGCCAGTGGTCAAGTCTACATGGACAAGAGAAACAGAATTTCTTTTGAAGGATAAAAGGCTGGAGGAAGGAATCAGGCTCTCCAGCACACTAGGCAATTTTTTGATAGAGATATAAAACACTGCAAAAATAATTGAGGGAGAGAGCGACTTTTAAGTTTGGAACAATTATTGCAGCAGTTTGTACACTTGGTCACAATAGTTGGCCCATTTTCCACAACACTATTTGTGATACACAGCAAGATAGCTCCAGTATTACACCTGCATTATACTTGCAAAAATCTAGAAGATTTAAGAGCTAATGTTCTCCATAATCATTTAAGTTATATTCTGAAACATATTCAGTGTTAATCTTTAAAAATTCATCTCATGAAGTGATCAAACTGAGAACTACAGTTTATTCAAAGTTCACAAGAAAAAACACAAGCTTCTGAAATGGATCAATTACTTCTGCTCTGAACTATTCTCAAATCTCATCTCAGGAGATGAAATACATCTGGCCACAGAAAGATGTCATTTGTCACAGAAGGTCTTGTAAAACAAAGCAGAAATGTTGTTCTGTATCTTGTTACTATTTTATAGGGGGAAAAAAAAAAAAGATAGCTAAATGCATGCTCAGGATCCAGACCTAAAAAGAAAAAAAATTAAGGTTTTGCTTTCACAGAAGTGTTACCTTCATTTCTAGATTACTGATGCTTGTTAAGATAATTTATCTTCTAAACTAAATCCCCAGAATCACAGAATGGTTGTGGCTGGAAGGGACGTCTGGAGACCATCTAGCTGAACCCCACCGCTCAAGCAGGGACACCCAGAGCACGTTGCACAGGGCTGCAGCCAGGTGAGTTTTCAAGATTAGATTAGACACCGAAAATTTACACAGAAAATTAGATTTTTTTAAGCTGTTTCAAAGATTAGTATCGTTTACTAACAGCACACAAGCATTCAAAAACATGAGGTAGCACTGACTGTAGCATTTACTGATCCCCCAAATTCTGAATATCATGTCATGTTGAGGATAAATAGAAATTACAGGCAAATTTGACACACAAGAAGCATCAGGACACAAGTCAAAACAAGGAGGCTGATTTCTGTCTGTACACTTTTCAAATCTTCCTGGCTTGATGAATCACTGAAAAAAAAAATCTTTTCGGGATTTGTTTACTTTCTTGTATCAAAGTTGGTATTGAGGAGGTTTTACAAAGTTAAAACTATAGGACGGTATACCACAAAAAGTCACAGCTGCTGCTCTCATGGTAATAAAAAAAAAGAAAAAAAAAAAAGACTTCTAGATACATAACAACAATTTCAGGGGATGAGTAACTGTAAGGTACAGATCAAGATCATTATTTCAGGCCAGATGTGATACCAAACATTCCTAGCAAATGCAGAGGAAACACGTGCACACAAACACACACACACACACACGCATCTGAAACGCTTACAGAAAACCATGCCAAATGCCTTCTCAATTCATATCCACTCGCCTCACCTCGACTAACAGATCAAGCTAAAATATCAAAATTAGGTGTTTTCTTCATGCTTTCTGGAAACAAGGACTTCCTAGTCTTGGTACTTCAACAAGCACACATACACCCATCTTGAAGAAATACATTTAATAACAGAAAAGCACTTCTGCAGCAGCATATTTTCTTCTTCCTCTGATCTTTCACAGTGGAATAGTGGTGGCAATGACAAACATGTGGAGCACAGTGAGAACGGGCTTTTTATTACATTCATAATTTGTAACACAGTATTGATTTAAGTCCCTGCTTTATATACAATCATGTTTGAAATTTTACCATAGAAATGCAGGGATTTGCTAACTTTCCATAGGAGCAGGATTAAGCCATCTCACACGAATTACTAAAAGAGCTATCCACAAAGCAGAGGCTCACCAACGCAAGCACAGAATCACAGAACGTTTGAGGTTGGATGGGACCTCTAGAGATCATCTAGTCCAACCCCCATGCTCCAGCAGGGATACCCAGGGCACATGGCACAGGGCAGCATCTGGAAGATCTGCAGAAAAGGAGACTCCAGAAGGAGCCTCTCTGGGCAGCTTGTTCCAGGGCTCTGTCACACTCACAGTAAAGAAGTTCTTTCTCATGTGGAGATGGAACTTCCTGTGTTTCAACTTGCTCCCATTACCCCTCGTCCTGTCACTGGCCACCACGGAGAACAGCCTGGCCCCATCCTCCCTACATTTGCCCCTCAGGTACTTGAACATGTTGATCAAATCTCCTCTCAGTCTTCTCTTCTCCAGACTAAACAGGCCCAGCTCACTTAGTCTTTCCTCATAAGATAGATGCTCAAGTCCATTAATCATCTTTGTTGCTTGACACTAGACCCTCTCTAGAAGCTCAATGTCCCTCTTCTACTGGGGAGCCCAGAACTGCACCCAATACCCCAGATGCCGCCTCACCAGAGCTGAGTAGAGGGGCAGGATCCCCTCACTCGACCTGCTGGCAACGCTCCTCCTGATGCAGGCCAGGATCCCATTGGCCTTCTTGGCCACAAGGGCACATTGCTGCCTCATGGTCAACTTCTTGTCAACCAGGACTCCCAAAACCCTCTCTGCGAAGCCGATTTCCAGCAGGCCAACCCCTAACCTGTCCTGGTGCCTGGGGTTATTCCTCCCCAGGTGCAGGATCCTGCACTTGTTCTTATTGAACCTCATGAGGTTCCTCTCTGCCCATCCTGTCTTAAGTCTCTCTGAAACTTCACAGTGAAATGGCTATTGAGTTAACATTTTTATTCCTTCAAAGGTTAACATTTTTTGGTGAAGAACATGTCCTCACATTTTCATCATTTAAAAGAAAAAAAAAAACATCATAACATTAAGCATTTTTTATTCTGAGTACTTGAACACCTGAAATAACTTTTTAATAGGAGAAATATACACATCACAGTAAAAGATGACCTAGAATTTATCACTGCATATAAAGCTAAGGAAGAATGCAAACCTAAACAGTTCTCACTCCTAAGAAATTACTTTCTATGTATTTGGTAGCCATGACATACAAAACCCTTCTCATGATCCATGTGCTATCACCACCAATTACGTCCACCTAGTGAGAAAAAAAAAAAAAAAGTGAGACAACACAAAAGATGCCCTCATTTAATCAATTGCGTGTTGCATTTCAAGGTGGCCGTAAAATATCAGGAAGTTTTAATGCTCATTTTCATACCTTACGCATCCTGCCCTCACCCTCCCCCCACCGCCACAAAAAAAAAGGTGTGATTATTGCAGCTTACAGAATAGTCAATTTCATTATTTTAAAATCTGTGGTGTCAACACTCAAATCAATCATTTTATTCTCTTCCCTGACAGGACTGATTTTTATAGCTATTTATCTTTCAGATTCTTTCAAACATGCTAGCTTCTGGGTCATAACTTACCTATACAATGTTGGCCCAATATTCATGCTAATTTACTCAATATGAAAGAAAATAGGAGAGGCTTTGTGGATGGTATCTGTTTGTCCATATGGAAAGCCCATTCCAAGTACCAAAAGGGGAAAGAATCTGAAACAAATTGCTCAGTAACATACATCCTCTACACTCAAACCCTCTCATCTTTCAATGAGCATAAACATTTATAGTAATGTCAGCGTTAAAATAAAGCTAGAGTCCAAAGAAAACAGAGCTCTCTCAGTCTGCTGAATTTCTTTTCATTTCTTCAAGGGTAAGTGTTGATGAGACTAAAATATCCATGTAGAAAGGAGGAGAATGGTTTATTTTCCCTATCACCCCCCTTTAAGCAGCTAACCAATTTATCACTTGACTCATAAGCACCTTAGAGGAGTCTTTCTCCCAAAGTTCTGCTTTTTCCCCACCGCAGGAATCTGCAGTGTGTATGTGCAGTGTCTGCATTACAGTGAAACAGGCAATAGGAATGCAAGAGCACCTAGGTGATCCCATCCAGTCTTCTGCCCCCATACAGCTCTATCTGTACAATACTGCTCATCATCACTGAGATGACTGAGACACATTTTAAAAACTGCCTAGGTTTCTCCTCTTTTTTTTTTTCTTTTTTCCTCTGGAATACTAGCATTATGTTAAAACCACACTCTAAAGTTTGGCTCAATAATGTATTGAGAAAATGCCAATTTTTATTCCAACAGATTAACTGTTCCACAGGAATCTGAGAACATGAGCAAGGTTTTTATAGACACTTATGATGCATACAACAAGAAAGTCTCAGGTGTTGCAGATCCCCTCCAGATACCACAGACTGAACATTCTTTGGAAAATGGTCTCCAAAACCCTGTAATGCAGTCACTCATCCTTTATGGATGGTGGATATCAAGTAATTATCTACATTAAACATGTAGACAGCAGCTTCTTCACACAAAACTCGATAGCCACCAAAGAGGAGGAACTCAGTCTGAAACTGAAGGTATGTTGTCAACAATTAGGCCCTAAACTTACATACCTAAGTAGCTCTTCCCCAAAGGGCCTATTCAAAATGCTTAGCTACAGTAAAATAAGCTCAAAAAACTATGTCACAAAAACAGACTTGACACTGTTCTGTGACAACCCTTAGGGAAGCTAGCCTGATTCTACAGATAAGCTACAGTGTTTTGGGGGCCTGCCTACAAAATTCCTTCCTCCTCCCAAATTTGATGAGACGCATCCATAAGGAGCCAGGCCATCCAGGCCTACTCCATCACACACCCTTGGATCTCTACACTAACCCAAATGAAGTAGGTATCTTTACTCATGAAATCATACAGGTGGTAACTGCCTTCTCATGAAGCATAGTATTTACAAGGTATCTGAGAAAGACTGGATTTACACTTATTAGACTTTGCAGGAAAGCCAGAGTAGAATTATTCTTCTTTTCCAGCTAGTCAAAGGAGGTGCACATGGAAATATGTAAAAGCACAAACATGAAACAATCATCAACCAATACCCATTTTTATTTCTGCTGTGACTCCTACCATTTGAAAGAAGAAA